AAATTCTCCTTGGAAAAAGCACAGGCCACAGATCCTACTGTGACTTGTGTCTCTTCCTCCCCAAGGGCATCCTCAACCTTGGAAAAATGAACCTCTAAATAGATTGAGACCCGTCTCAGACACTCTTTGGTTTATAGCAGGGGTCCCCAAGCCCTGGACCGCGGACTGGTACCAGTCCACAGCCTGTTAGGAACCGAGGTGCACAGCAAAAGGTTAGCAAGCATGACCACCTGAGCCCCACCTCCTGTCAGATCAGTGGTGGCATTAGATTCTCATAGGAGCGCAAACCCTACTGTGAACTGCACATTTGAGGGAAGTAGGTTGTGTGCTCCTTATGAGAATCCAATGCCTGATGATCTGAGGTAGAACAGTTTCATCCCAAAACCATCCTTACCCATCCTCCAGCCATGGAAAAATTGTCTTCCAAGAAACCAGTCCCTGGTGCCAAAAAGGTTGGGGACTGCTGGTTTACAGTATTTTTCAGGACTGTGGTTGGCACTGGCCCTTTCACCTTTCTATCGGCTTCTTAACAAAACACTTCAAAGAGTAATAATTTTTAAATTATATTTTCAACTTGGAATAGAGGTTTGGTGGCTGAAAAAAGCAAGCCCGAAATGCAAACCTGAAAGCGATGAAAGCAAGTAAGAGGCTGAGTGGGCTCACGTGGAGTCTGGAGTTGCGGTGTGTGTGTTACCCTAAGACATCCCTTAGCACCGGTCAGGAGAGAAGAGACAGCCCGAAACCAGCAGCAGTGCCCAAAGCCAAGGAGGTGCTGGGAAGCTCACTATGGAGATGCAGATGATCAGATCCTAGCGTACTTTGAGAAACTGCAAGAAAGCAGGATTCTGAAAAAGCCGCCATGCCAAAATGGAGGTCTCCTCGAAGTGCAACTTCAGACTGAAAACTTCACCATTAAAGGTAAAGTTCATGTTGGCCGGGCGCGGTGGCTCACGCCTGCAATCCCAGCACTTTGGGAGGCCGAGGTGGGCGGATCATGAGGTCAGGAGTTCGAGACCATCGTGGCTAACACGGTGAAACCCCGTCTCTACTAAAAAAATACAAAAAAATTAGCCGGGCGTGGTGGCGGCGCCTGTGGTCCCAGCTACTCGGGAGGCTGAGGCAGGAGAATGATGTGAACCCGGGAGGCGGAGTTTGCAGTGAACCGAGATCGCGCCACTGCACTCCAGCCTGGGCGACAGAGTGAGACTCCGTCTCAAAAAAATAAAAAAGTATGGAATTGTAGACAGATGGGGTCAAGCCTCTCATGGGCAAGCCCTGGAGAGTGACAGCTCACAGCAAGGCTGCCCGCCCTCACCCACTGAGGACAGCTGACCTCCGAGGGTCAAATTCTTGATTTCCTTCGTGGAATGGTTAAACAGTAAAGTGCATGTTAAAAACAAAAAACAAACCAAAAAAGCCAATATGTCATCAAGTTTACAATGACATGAGAAGACTTCGAATCTCTGCTCTACTGTTCACAGAGGAATACGGGCTTAGCCAGGGAAAGGAGCTAGCCTAAGTTTGTGTACTAAGGGCTGACTTCTTATTTTTCGATTAGAGAGAAAAATAAGAGATGGTTTGACAAAGGGTGACTCACAAGCATGGCTTAGATTTTTTTTTTTCAAGGTTAAATGTTCTCAGTCAACAACTGGGAAAACTACAGGTATTTTACTAAACTTATGCTTCCAGGGGTGTGGCACTATAGAAGGCTGTTCCCAGCGTCTCATCAGTTATGTGAGGAGAGGCATCTGGAAGAAGCGGCGGGACGACATGGTGGACAGAGCGAAAAATACTGCCAGGCCTGGGAGGCAGGAGCCCGGAGTCAGGCTGATCAGGTAGCGAAGGCAAGAGACTTGCTTAGGCAGGCTTTAGAGTCCAGGCCTGGGCCACACAGTTGAGACACTATCTCCCTTAAGAAACGGAAAAAAAGTCCTCAGCATGACGCTGGAAACGGGTTCAGCTGGACTTCATTTCAGACAGACTTTCAGAATCCAATAGGCACCATGGTATTTTGGAGGAGAAAAGGACATTAAGGCATGATTTTAAAACAGGAGTTTGTGACATAGGCAGGGTACGAGGTCTGAGGCGGAGGGAAGTCATGGCGGACAAGGTTAGGAAAGGTTTCTTCCACTCTTTTGACCGGTTTGGTTGAAAGGAGTTGCTGCTTGAAACTGTAACCAGCAAAGGAGCGCAGTATCTTCAGGAAAAATCTCAGGAAAAGTTTGCAAGCAACAGTAGTCGCTGTTGATCGGGTTCTAAAGGGAAAAGGGTGGAGGACGATTCAACCGGGTTAGCGTGAAGTTGGAGATAAATTCTCTGCCAGAGTGTGGAGCGCCAAAGAGTTCTAGGATGAAGATTATTTCCTATTAGAATGGTTGAGCATTCTTGGAAGTACTAGACTGAAATAAATCACTATCGAGAATGCATCAACATGGAAGCTGCCCATTCCTGAGTTCTTGAAATGTTATCATGTAAATTAATTCGCATATTGAT